GGCGCAGGCCGGAGAGTCCGAAAAGTCCGAAAGAGGGGCAAGGGGCTGTCGAGGGTTTGGGTATCAAGAGAGCGATCGGGCAGTCGGCATTGGGTGACCCGAGAAAGAGTGCGGTGGGGCCTTCTCTTTTGAGCGTGGAGGACGACATGGGTTCTGAAGAAGAAGAAGAGCAGCCGGAAGCCGCTCCTGGCGCGCCACGTGGCGGCCTGGAAGCAACGACACGGAAAGCGGTGGTGGTCAAGAGGGCTGCTGGGTCCGCGCTCTTTGGGCGGCCGGCAAAGCGAGCGAACGTGGCGAAAGGGAGCGAGGGGAAAGCAGCGGTGGTACGAGAAATCTGCGGTGTGAGAGAAGAGATGGCAGAGGAGGGCGCTGGGCCGTCGACGGAGCGAATGGAACCAGAGACAGTGAATGCGGACGTCCGCGATAAGACCGTTCGAGGAGAAACTGCGGACGGGTCTGAAGCGTTCCAGAGTAGTGCTGCAGCTACGGCTGGGGCTGCGGAAGGCGAGAGAGCGGAAAGTGGCCGGAGCAGCGGCGTTCCGACGGCTGAGTCGACGGACAACGGAAAACTTGGGTTCGCGGAACCGGGTTTGAAGCAAAAGAAGCGCAAGGGCGGCCTGGGGGCCATGTTTGGGGCCAGATCTAGCCGGGGGGGAAGCGAGGAGACGAGCGCAAAGGCGGCGGCAGAGCGAGTGAAAGCGTCGCTCGCTCTGCCGTTCACGCCTGTGGGGGGTTTGGGGCCCACCCAAGGGTTGAATTTCGTAAAGATTACGGGAGAAGGAAGCCGCTCCGAAGCGCTACATGAGGGCGAGGCAGGGAATGAAGAAGGAACAGAGGAGAGCGGGGCAGTGCCTTTGGAGGAAGTGATGATGTATAAGGATGGAGAAGAGGACGAGGAAGAGCAATCGAACGGCGGGGAGGAGGAGGCGGAACGGAAACCGGACCCGGAAGCGGAAAAGCTGGCGCTGTTTGGCACGCAGGACCTTCCGAAGCCCATCTCGCAAGCTTACCGAAAGACGGGCGCTTTCGCACAAGCTGCAAACGGAAGCGGTGGTCGGGAAGCGGGCAACGGGAAGAAGGCGCAGGGTCCAGAAACGTCGGGAGCGGAAAAAGAGCAGAAGAGCGTTTCTGGGGGCGTAGGTGAAGGGAACGAGAATGGACAGAGTGGGTCACAACATGGGGGGAAAAGGGCGCTCCCCGCTGGGCCGAGCGCTGCGGCGCTCGAAGCGGGCTGCGAAGGGCTGGCTAAGGACGGGAAGTTCGATTTCGCGGCGGCGGCGGGGGCGCTCGGGCTGCGCTCGTTTCTAAAGAGTAAGCCAGCGGCTGGGACGAAAGAGGGCGGCAAAGGGGCAAAGCCAGTAAAGCAGAGTCGCGGGTCAAAACCGGAGGAGCAAAGCTACGGGGCACCGAAGGAAGAGCCGGGTCACAACTTCAACCCATTTGCGTCAATGGAGGAGGAGGGGGCGGGGATCAAGGCAGGCAAGAGGAGCCAGGCATTCCCACGGTCGGGGAACAGGATGTCCACGTTCCGACGATGATCATCCTGTGGCTCAAAACTGTTTCCGAGTATTGTCAAATTCAGTAGCGGATTCATTCGGAAAATGTGCAAGGGCTCTTGTCAAGCCCTTGCAAGCGCGTGGAGCCGTCCTTCAGCTTCGCTCAAATACACCAACGTACCAAGGCGGATTCGGCTCGGATTAAAAGGGTTGATCGGAAATGATGGCCCCGCTGTCCTTGTCTGGCGGCTTTCTCAGGTCGGTTGGCGCGCTCACCAAACACGTACTTATGCCCGGCTGTATCGATTGCATATTTGGGACTTCAGCTCATACTGTGCACTATGCGTGTTTACGAGTATGGCTGTAATCGAATTGCATATGTCACTGCTTGCATGCATAACGCTGCTTGTTTTATTAAGGAATCAACGTGTCCATGATAATGACAGACGACTCAGCCGCCAGATGTGCAGTTTGGCCCACATGTTTTCCAAATTGCCAGCTAGCTCTCTACATGTGAGTGCGCCCGGACTGCGCCAAAGATTGCATGCAGTGTGCAGTCCCGTACATTGCAATAATTTGCATATAAATAAAAAAAATTCCGTGTATAAACTGTGCCACAATGTGATCGATTGCAACGCGTCGGCCACGCCGCATCTGATGCACGTTTATCAGATACATACATGGGCTGTACCATGCATGTGCCAGCCCATCGCCCCGCATATAAGCGGTTTTTGGTCTGTCAGACCGCACGCGCCCAGAATAATGCATCTACGCGATTTCGACGGGCCTCGTTTGAATCGAACATTGGATCGCGGTCGGAGGCTTGGATGATACTAAATGCTGAATGTACACTCGATCGAGTTCATTATGGCGTTCTCAAACTAGCGACCAACCCTCAGCAGATGTTGAATGTGTCTACAATTAATACATGACCACGTATACTGTACTGCACGCGCTGTGCTTGTACTATAATCTCACTGTCAGCTCCAGTCAGCAGTGTTTGTCGGACCAACTTGAACGAATTCGATTCAATCTATGAGAAAACGCTTACCGAGCTTATTTTTATCAGAGTCCTGAGGGACTACACAACCCAACCAATGGACTTTACAAGACGAGCAACTCCGAACACGGGGGCTGCTAAGTCAACAGCACAATGAATGCAGCCCCCACAATTACGATAGCTCCGTGCGTGGCCTACTCAGCATCCGCCCCTATTCCCCCGTTCTTTTTACAGAACGCACCTTCGCGGCATTCACAAACCATACCAAACCCCCTCACTTGCGCCTTCGCGGCATTCACAACCCATACCAAACCCCCTCACTTGCGCCTTCGCGGCATTCACAACCCCACACCAACCCCCTCACTTGCGCGTCTGCTTGCTTTGCATGCGCAGCGCAAAATAAAAGAACACGCGGTAGCCCATGATGAGGATGAGCAGCACCGTAAAATCCGGCCACCACATGGACCCCAGCTTGGCACTGTACTTGGACAGCACGTCGTCGCGCGTCGCGGGGTGCGTCGGGTTGTTGGTCGCGACGCACGTGCCGTTGGTCAGCGGCGCGAAGCACGTGTCGGCGGGGCGAGCGGTGTACTCGTTCACGAGGAGGCCGTCCAGCGGGTACTTGAAGTTGGACAGGTAGTGTAGCCAGATCCAGTATCCGGGAATCTTGGCCCTGTTGTAAAGGAGAGAAAAAGAGTGAGCGGGATGGGGAAGGAGTAAGGTGTGAAAGGCAGGGCTGCACAGGCAAGCGTGACAGGAGGCAACATATATGGGCAGACAGGAGGCAACGTGTATGGGCAGACGACATTGCATGGTGTAAGAGGATATCAATTGACAGGATGGGGACGTGGGAAGGCAAGGAGCGACGAAGTTGCGGATCCTATTGGCGGGAACGAATGATACCCCAGGTGGACTGTGCTAGTCCAAGGGGCGGCTTTGAATCACATGCTAAGTATGGACTCAGTTATCTTGCCCCTGGAAAAATGGAAGGAAAGCAATGCAGGAGTGGTGAACTTACTTTGGCACGAAGAAACCTGCACCAAAAACAGGGACGAAACGTTAGTCACGGAAATCAGACGGCGTCGCCTAGCTGGAGCGTCAAGATCCTCCGAACCTCATAAAAAACGTCGTGCAAGGAGAACTTAGACCCTCGTACCACCCAAAAGAAGGCACACAAAGAGAGAAAAGCTTGCACCCTTTGCAGAGTGCAAGGCTGGCCGTTGCGGCTTTGAAAACGACAGCTCATCACACAATCTGCATCCGGACTCGCAAGGATTGCGGTCCTTTTATCTCCTACTTACAGCGGCCTCTCCAAGGTACACGCGCAACGACCCGCCTCGCCTTGAAAAGAGTTTTGCAAAACAAACCAGACCAAACAAAACAACATCAGCGCGCGCGCACCTGAGAAGAGGAAGAAGAAGGAGGTGGTGGCCGTGACGATGGTGTTGCCCGCGATGAAGTTGGGCACGATGGCGCTCCAGAAGTTGACGTACGCGTTGGCCAGCGTCAGCGTCAGGAACAGGATAAGGATGCTGTAGAAGAAGCCGCCCGCGGTGGGCGCCAGGCCCACCATCCAGTACGCGATGATCTGGAACAGCAACACCTGCGGAAACGGGGGCGCCGGCTTCTAAGTTCTTCTACCGAAGCTAACTCCAGGGATCACGTCGTGTGCCGTGGTAAAAGATTGTGTTGATCTTGCTTGGGTGACAGGCCCACCAACCAATACGCGATGATCTGGAACAGCAACACCTGTGGAATACAGTGGCCCGGCTTTTCAGTTCTTTGATTCGCGCTAGAAGCTGGGACCGTTTCGTAATAGGCTGGTCGAAGAAACGTTGAGATGCCCACTAACCAGCAAGTGAAGATTTGAAACAGCAACACCTATGTAAAAACGGGGTCGGCTTATAAGTTTTTCTACTGGCGTTGAGTTCAAAGACCAGACCGTGTGCTTTACTCGAAGGAGCTTCCCATCCAGTACGTATGATGTCGAGCAGCAACACCTGCCGAAGTGCGAAGGAGCTTAGAGACTCCAAAGCATCTGGTTGCGCTGATCACAAGGGCATCACGACCTTTCTGACTGTACCGGTGGGAAAGTTCGACGAAACCTAGGGCGCCGAGTTCGCCGTTGAGTCGGAATCAACACTCCTGATTGCGCATTCAAAAGTCGTTACATCTTGCGTTTGGACCTTTTGGACCAAGGCGCAAGCGATGTTACCTGTCTCTGCCGATCGCCAAACGCACAACAACGTTAGAGGTCGGCCTTCGGATCCCTCAATTGCGCTCAAGAAGCAATATTCTTGGTCTCATAGGCTCTAGCTTTTCACCAAAGCCTCAGCCTATGAACAGAGAAGCAGATGCAGTAGCTCAAGACGAGGCAAGATCGAATGGGGGCCTCGCGTAGCGCTTACCTGCAGCATGTAGAAGGGAAGGGACACCAGGAAGTTGGCGATCACGTATGAACTCGTCCGGTAGGCGCCCCGGGACGTCTCACGGATGAAGATCTGGCGCTCCTGCACAGCAGAAAGAAGCCGAGTCAAGCAAACGCCCGATAGGCTTCTATCATGCCAGCAATTGTGATTTCACGTCGAGCAAGTGGAGCAACCACTCGTCCAATGGGAATTGATCTACGAAAGCAGTCTCTCCACTCGTCCAGCACCTTCCAGCGCAGAAGGAGACGAGCACTCAGCACCTCGTCGAGGAACAATCTGGTGACGTTACACCAGTGACTACTAGCTCGAAGGCCACAGGGAAGCATCCCGCCAGCTTTACAGCACTAAGTCTAAAAGAGAAACGAAACAAGCAGTGCTTCGTGCGGTAGGCTCACCTTTAGGAAGATGGGAAGCGCTTCGGTGGCTGTGAAGAGGTAAAAGGCCAGCGTGAACGCGAAGGTGGAGGCGCGCTGCTGGACACCTGCAAAGGCAAGTCCGCTTCGTTCGGAGATACGCACACGGTAAATGGCGCAACCAGTGTAGGAGAAAGAAGCAGCCGGTTTTCAAGATTTCCAGCTCGGCATCCCCCCTGATTCCTACTCCGTACGTTGACGCCAGCAGCGCCCCCGAATATGACAACGGCAGGCCCGCTCGCCTTGGCCTTCGTCCCTGACGTCGAAGAAGATGCTGCATAGCGTTTTCACAGTACCATACGTCAGCAACCCCCCAAAGAATGACGTCAGCAGGCCCGCTCGCTGAGCTCACCCTTGGGGGTGTCCCCGACGTTAAAGAAGAGGCTGCCGAGCGTCAGCGCCACGATGACCTGCAGCACGAGCCGCCAGATGAGCAGCTCCGGCGTGCGCAGGATGTTGCGCGCGTTGCGGTCGATCAGCGTCGCCGTCTCCGCGGGGAAGCCCGACGCAAAGTCGATCGGCTCGCCGGCGAGCGTCATGTTGCTCTTGAGCTGCGCCAGGGTGCGGCCGCCCACCGACTTGTTCTTCGCCTCCTGCGTTTCGAAGTTATCTGGATTCAATCCTTTTGAACCTTTGGGTTGATCCTTATGCAGCTTGAGATTTTCCGAAAAAAATGTCAACAGGATTCGGCGGCGAAAGGCGAAGCTGAGGTTTAAAGCTTTGCATGCAGCAGCAGAAGCGCTTTCTGTGTATCTCTGTGAGGGAGGCGGGTGAGAGGAAGAAGCTGCATCATCATCATGGGAGTGGTATGGCGTCGACTCTCGGTTGCTGTCTGACTTGCCTGCGAGGGACCCAGAAAACTCCTGAGCGTCCTAATACTTGGATCTATGCGATTCACGCTACTCGAATGTCTTACCATTTTGTAGCCGTCTCTCGTGCCCCTTTTGTGGTCAAAGGTCCAGGAAAGAACGACAACAGAATCTCAAATCGACACATCGGCTTATCGTACTTAACTACCGTATAGCTTGGGCCGAATCTAATCAGACAGTCGCCAACCGAAACCGCCTGGTAGAGCTACCAAACCCAAGCCTGACGACGCTGTCTAGTCATCAGTACTTCTCTGTGACGTCAGTCCCTCACCGCAAACGTCAGCAGCGGCTGGAGGCCCTCCTCCGAGTTCTGCAGCTCCTCGATCGCGTCCAGCGTGTACTCGAGCACGTTGACGTCATCAGGCACGTGGCGCCCAAACTCCTCGAAGTAGCCCGGCATGCTGGCGTAGCTGCCGTGGTAGATCACGTTGCCACGTGCCAGCACCAGGAAGCTGTGGATCAGCTCCAACACGCGGAAGCTTGGCTGGTGAATCGTCAACTGCGGTGGATGGAGCGGAGGATCGAATCTGGGGTGTAATTGCGACGCAGGCGAGAGGGGAGACCAGCAAGATAGATCGTCATGCAGACGGATGCGCATGAGGCAGAATGACGTCGCGCGAGCCATACGGTCCTTGCGAGCAACGCAAGAACCGGCAGCTGGGCCCAGTGAGGAGGAATCCTGCTCCACCACGTCCTGTACCTTTCTACCAAACTCTATGAGAACTGCCCTTAAAATGCTGAGGGAAAGGGTGTTGTAAAACAGGGAGGAGTCAGCTTACCACAATGGTGCGCAGCCTGGTGGAGGCGATGTTGTGGAGAATCTGCACCACGTTGAGTGCACTGCACGCAAAGAGGTAAACAGTGAGTGAGATCTGGTACCCAGGACAACCAGCTGGAGCAGCCAGCTCTCGGCAAGAAGTGCAGAATCAGGCACATGAACTCGGCAAACTTGCTTATGACCTGATCGAGATTGAGCAGATTGAGCGACCAGTGACGTCCCTCCGGCAGATTGTCTAGAGATTCTCACGAGTTCCCCAAACATTATGAAGTGGCTCCAGGACCTCGAGAGGCTCTCGACTGTTAAGTCAGACGGTTCAGGATCGGCTGTCCAAAGGAAAAGCGTACCTGGTACTGTCGAGGCCCGAAGTAGGCTCGTCAAGGAATCTGCAGAGAGTGTTAAGCTTAGCTGCCAAATGTACCAGCAAGAACTGCTTGCACTGTAGTATTGTCCTCCGAATCAACCATGATCAAGCCTTTCCTTGTGGTGCAAAACAGAAATTCCACCTCATCATCAGCCAAGAGACTGCTTGGTTATTTTGACTTGCTCAAGGTCCGATTAAAAGGAGCACAGCACCTAAACACCACAAGGGGCATCGATGGGGAGCTCTTACAGCACGGGCGGGTCATGGATCAGGTCCACCCCAATGGACGTGCGCCGCTTCTCCCCGCCTGAGATGCCTCGCACCTGGAATAGAAGCAGTTTTGTCAATGAGTTGTGGCAGGGTCGCAGTCTGACAGATAGAACTCCAGACCCTTCTGAGCAATACTTCTTGCTGCGGCAACAGATTGACGAGCACACAGCATGTTTGCTTGTGGTGAAAGCGACCATCATCTTGCCTTAAGTCCCAGACCCCCACAAAACCCCCTCACCTCACTTCGTCGACCCTGATTCTCATCTTCGCGCATGACCGCACGCCCCAACATCTGGATCATCCTTAACCACCAAAACACCCCGTAACCCCCTGAACCTTGACTTAACCCTTGAACTTTCAGAAGCCCTCACCTCGTCATCCCCAATCCTAGTCTCTGCGCACGACTTGAGCCCCAGCACCTGGATCATCTCCTCCACCCGGTCCTGCTTCTCCTTGTGGCTCATCGTCCCCGGCAGCCGCAGCCGCGCGCTGAACATGAGCGTCTCGCGCACCGTCAGCCGCGGGAACAGCTGGTCGTCCTGCATCACGTACCCCGAGATGCGCTTGAAGTCGCTCCCCAGGGGCTTCTGGTTCGCCAGGATCTGGCCCTCCAGGCTCTGCGGGTTGATCCTGCGAAAAGAGGGTCAGGTTTTAGATCCAATTTCTGTCAAAGATTCCAGAGTGGTTTCAAATGGAGAATCGACAAGTGCGAGGAACTTCCAGGTGCTTGTGGTCATGAGTGCAGTACATTGGCGCAGCTATTCTTGCAGCATCTTATGAACATCGACCGACCATTTGAACTTCTCTAAGCAGCCTTTGGAAGAACTCTAAGAAGAAGAATGAAGACCTAACCACCTCCCCACACCAGCCCTCGCCCATGCAAGATAGGAGCGAACACGTGTCCCCACCTTCCAGCGATAGCGTCCAAAAAGGTACTCTTTCCGGCTCCCGATGGGCCGACCACCGCCAAGATTTCCCCCGCTCGCGCCTCCGCATCGATGTTGTTGAGGAGCACCTTGGTGGTGGCCTCTTCGCCCTTCTTCTTGGCCTTAGTCACGACCTGGCAAGTGCAGGATGCAAATGGCTTTGGACCATCATTTTGATTTTTGTCAAGCGGGGAATCGTGCGACCACTCTCGCACGTCCGGAAGCGGTGCCCCCTTTTCAGGACAAAAGGTGGTGCTCCCCAAGCGCGGCTCTTGTTTCTGGAGCCAGGTTCCAAAAGTTTGATGTGGTCAAAGTCAGTTTAAGAATCAGCAGTGACAGTTGAGGGGTAGAGACTATTTGACAACTCAGCACTCAGTATCATAAGGGCGCTTTTAGGACACCTCCAACTGGTTTCAAACATTTTAACCACCTCCTCACTGCTTGTGGCCTGAAGCACCAAACGGAACTTGGAGTCAATTGCAATCAAGGGCTGCCCCTGCTCGACCTACCTTTCATTGAGCTCTTGTTTGTAAGAATGTTTTTCCAAGGTGCCGCTCTAGACTCCAATGACTATCTGTTATCACTTTCGGTTCGAGCAATGAGCGGAGGCGCACAACTCGTCCCCCGCTCTCAATATAAGCAAGCATCTTCTTGAATCAAGTATTCCATCTGGTGGTCAGACAAACTGGTGGTCAATGCCAACCAATCTAAAGTAACATGGTTGTAATACAAAGAAGACCCTGCCAAGAAACAAACTCTGGCAGATCTCAAGGCAGACAAGTTCTGCCCACTTCCAATGCAGAAGCGTACAACACTCCTGTCGATTCTGACCATCTCGACCACCTCCTTCCGCCGTTGCTTTACAGCCCCTTGCAAGATTTGCATTAGAACAACAACAGGAAAGTGCCTGAGAAAATGCTGAACGCTCACCAGCACAGGCCTTGAGCAGCCGAGAAGGGGTGCCAGCGGTCTAAAACAGGCAATGCAACAACCTCAACCAGTTTAAACAGGCAATGCAACAACACCCCAACCATCATATTTTCCCTTCCTTCTTTGGCACAATGCAACGACATATCTACACCTTCATCGGCCGCAAAAACTTTTTTTTGGGTTCTAGATTGAAGCGCAAGCTTACCTTGTAAGTGAGGCCTGAGATGCTCAGATTGTACTGCTTTTTCTGCTCGAACGACATCTCCGACACGTTTCTCGGTATCCCCCCTGCTTCTGCATCCCCAACGTCTACCACTCGGACCCCATTCTCCACTTCGTCCCCCATCGTGTTCTTTTTCTAGATCTTACACTCTGCCCCCCGAGCGAGCAAAAACCAGGAGAAGAAGCAGCAACGCAGTGGTTATGTGCACCTGCGACTAGCCAACGACGAACTCTCTGGCATTTGAGCAGCACTAGCCAGAAAGAGCATCAGCCTTCTCTTTTAACCCGGAATCCCACTCCCTGAAGTTCTTTAGTGATGCACCTAGCCCGCTCTTCCTTCCAAAGACGTCCTCAACAGCGCCCCTACCTGGCTAGTCGTCCATGAATCATGATGCAATGTGCCCTCTGTTGGGAGTGTTGCGTCATTCTCCCATTTCCACAGCCTTCCACTTCCTTCCTCTCTGCTTCGCGCTGACGACCCGGGGGCCTGCTTGGCCCGGTCCGGGTTAGGCCCGGGCTTCATGTTTTACTCGGTGATCTGATCACCGGGCTGAAATCTAAACCCCAAGCGCTTTAACCAAACCCAGTTGGACCATTCATGAGTTTTGTACGTGCGCACAGCCTGCACAAGCCCTGTGAGCTTATCCGGCCGGTGTAGCATTTGAGCCGAGTCCCAACCACTCTGCACGGCCAGCGTTAGCCCGGCTACTGTCAAGCAACCGGGGCGGCACATTCGCAAGTTCGTCATACGGGGTTATGTAATTCAGCGTCCAATAATGGAAGGATGAGTAACTTTATCAAAGTTCCTCCGTATATCGCGGGCACATGGAAACACATCGACTCATCTCAACCGTTCATTTTGTTGGGTCGAGATGACATGTCCAGCGCTAGAATCTTGACTCGATCCCCTGGACTCGGAGGTTCTTCAGACTTTAAAGTTCGGGCCTTTCAGTTGGCTTGGCCAGCGAACTATTGTTTACATCGTTGTTTGTTGTTGTTGTTGTTGTTGTTGTTGTTGTTGTTGTTGTTGTTGTTGTTGTTGTTGTTGTTGTTGTTTTTTGAGAGCTCCAATGCCTTTTGGAGACTAGGCTAGTGCTGATCTGCTGAGGGCTAACAAACGGAACCCGCGTCTCATCAGTCGTCATACCTACATCAGTTTGTGTGTAGACTACGTAGTCCGCGCTGCGAGGTAGAACACTTCTGCGGCGTTCTGCCTGATGGTGTCTATAAGACAAGCCCTGACTTTTTATGCACTAGGCAACCCACTCGCAACCCATGTGTCTTGCAGCCCGCCGCCAGTGTCGGGCCAGTATCTTTGGGCAAAGCTTATCACACGCCGTGCCATCTATGACTTATACTCGTTTGCGGATGCAATTCTAGCAATACCATGCTCCTGTCATTCATGTAAAGAAAGGGCCTTTGTCCCCTTTGACGTCGTAGCTATAATCCGTTTTGCATAGATCATTCTAGCTGTCTTTGAATAATTAGGCATTCAAAAGGAGTGGCTTAGGCTTGCTGCACATACTCGATTAGTGTAAGCATGTGTGCGCACAGCGGTGACGATAAATAGATAAAAGTTCAGGGTCTCTAATTCAAACGATGGTTAAGTCCTTATACTAGTATACGACATCAGAAGAAGGTGCAGTCTGAAATTGAGCGCGGAGTCTCCCTGCTTGTCAGTGGGCAAGTCACGCTACATCCCCTGATGACTATTGGTTGCATTTTCTTTCTTGAATATCAATTTACCACCATGTACGATGGGCTCTTGTTGGATGACAGAGACGGACAAGATCTTGGTTGACATTTTGATTATTAATGAGGATAATAGCGCTCCCAGCGCATCTAGCTAGCGTCACAGGAGAATGTTGCTTCCGCTGCCACAAATTCAAGGCAAGTACCACTCCTAGGCTTGACATGATAAGCATCCCGCCAGACTGAGCGAAGTCTTACCCACCAGGTTATAGAGTCTGGCGTGGAAAACATTGGTCATGATCTCACTTGTATATACCACCTTTTCTTGCGAAATTGTGTTTAAAATTGACGGTCCTCAAGCGAGCGTTATGCAGCAAATTCAGTAGTTTACTCAACAGACTTATTGCTCTAGCGCCTTCCACAATTTCTCATCGTCAAAATCACGTATCGTCACCGAAGCTCCGGCAGCAATGAGACTGGACTCAGGATTCCCGGTCAAGATGCCAACAGACGGAATGCCTGCAGCGACGGCTGCTTGGAGCCCGGCAGAGGAATCCTGCCACAACCAAAACCAGGTAACGACTCGTAAAATCAGGATGCAACCAATGACTTGGATAGTCGAGTGGAGCAGAAACGAAGGATTTTACCAGATACGAAGGTCCAATTCCTGATGGCTCAGAATGGAACCGTTCTATCGAAAAGCTTGTCCATCAAACAAAATCTGCGTCAACCAGATGCACTTCTACCACCAACCAGATCACCATCAACCAATGACGAGCTCAAGAACGCTGTTCACAGCTCGATATATCGAAAGCAGCGGTGCACATAGCCTAAACAAAATCGCTGATACTGCAACCAGTCATTTAGCCCGCACCTGAGCACCTAACTGGCTGTACGACTATCCGCTTTCAAAGCCACTTTGTCAATGCCGAATTATGTAACTGTCAAAACCTCGTTGGGATTGGAACACATCAAGAAAGGCGTCTTCCAGCTGGGACACTTTACAACCTGCCCGTTTAAACTCGAAGTGATCCTTACCTCGATCACCACCGCTTCGTTTGGCTGCAACCCGAAGTGTTTCAACGCGTCCTCATATGGATCAGGGTGCGGCTTTCCCCGCTTACACTCGGAACCAATCACCACTGCACCCGCAGATAAGCGCGAGCCGTCATCAATCTAGAAGCAGAGCTTGACATCGTTCAGATTTCGTTGTATCTTCACTTGGCCTCAATCAACCTGCCCGACGCGCTTATCGCACTCATCGCACAGTCGAAGCGCTTTGGATATCTAGAATTGTTTAGCAGAAAGCGAATTCGGACTCTGTTGCCTAACCGCCCTGCAAGTCTTCGACCAGCACGAGCAGGAGAACCAAACTGCAACTCAGTCTCGGGAGTATTTCAAAGTCTCTGCGAAAAGAAGCCCGAGTTCTGGCTTGCTCACACAGCTGGAAGAACTGCTCGAGTCCCACAGCCTTGATCATCTGCTCTGCATTCGCCCGGGGGGCGTTGGTGACGGCCGCTCTTGTAAGCCCTTTCTCCTCAACCCACTTGCAGAACCGAAGGAGGCCCCCGGTAGGCTCCAGGATGCCCAGGGCCAACTTCCGGAAGTGTGCCTCCTTATCATCCATGAACTGCATTGCCTTGTCCATCGGCCAATCAGGGAAGAGCTGCAAAAAGGGCGCAAGTTGCAGGCTGGTCAGTTGTTTGAAAAGGCCTGTTCATGAAGACTTGTTGAAGGCATCTCTTCGATCTACTGGAGAGCACCAGCTTGTCTAAAAGATCCCGTGTCCACTGGCTAGAGAGGACTCTGGCTTCTGCACACAGTTCAATACCAATATTGCGCAGGTGATAAGATGTCTTTATACAATTCACTAACAGTAACTGGCAGAAGCAATTGAGCATTACGTCTCGAAAAAGAGGGAGAAGGCAGTAGCAGGCTTTTGGCACTCATGTTTGAATCTCGCAATCAGGGCTCTAAGGGTTGACATACCTACATCTTTTGCAATGTCTGGATTGTGGCGGCCGCTGATGTTCTTCTGAAAGAAGGCCTCATCAATAGGAATTCCACCATTAAACCCGACATTACTTAACATCTCCTGCAGGCCAGATTTCAAGGAATCAGTACTTGCTCGAAATCAAATATACCTGGTGAAAGGAAACGTCAACGCATGTTTTCAGCAAGATTGAACGGAAGTTTGCGCTGCATCACAGCACAGTCAAACTCTTGTGTACGGATGCCAAGGAACGCAGCTGCTGTGACTCGCACTTGTTGAAGGTGACTATCATGGTCAAGACCAATCTCCTATGCCAACGAGCGAACAGATTCACTAATGTAATACTATTCCCAGGAGAGAGGGGCGTTACTCACTTGGAATGACTTGAAATGAAGGGGGTCTGAAACTGCTATTGTGCCATCAACATCGAAGAAGACAGCCTTCAACTTGATGCCTTTTGGAAGCGGTGGAGGCGATGGTCTATTCGCTGCAATACAGCAAGATAAGGCTGAATGAAATACTGACAAGTGTAGCACCCTTGTTGACAGAGAGTAAATGGAAGCAGGAATACCCCAATTCTTAACAAGCGGAGTCACGTCCTTCACTTTGTCACATTATGTTTGCCAACTCAGTTGGCAACTTCAAAAGTTGCAACCGGCGATCATTGCTTTGATTGTCCATTATACGATTACATGGATTCAAACACTCAACTCAAGCAAGGATGCTTTTACTTTTCTGAAAATAATGCACAACGATCAAGCAGCAGAACGATTCATCTGCTACCCCATCAATTCAAGAAAGACCTACCTGACAAATCTTCACGGGCATCAGGTTTAAGCCCCTGCTGGATCCTGTCCCCGGGTGTCGGTTCCACGGTTCCCATTGCTAGAATTCGTGCCTGCCTGAACGTCCCTTTCAAAGATCGTGATTCTGGTGGGAATCTCCTTTGTGAGACACGAAAAACTGCTTGATGATTGACCTGACAGACAAGGACCACCTAGAGTTCGAACAGCAGCTGTCCCTTAATCAAAGTCAAAGGTGGCAGGAGATCTACTAACATCGACTTGAGAAAAGGCAACCGCCTTGGATGGAGTGAACGGCAGTGGTGATGCCAGTGGTGGTCAAAAGTAGGGGATCCGCAATGGCTTTCAAAGCCTGCTGCTGGCAGCCAGATCATTATGGGAACCAACATGGCGAATGATGAAATGGAGACCAAGTGCGCAGAATGCACTTTGTAACGACAGCACTCAGCTTTTCGGGCCAAAGAGTGGGTTCAAAGTGATTAGATAAGGAAAGCAAGCCCGCATGCAGTAGAGAAGAAGCAGCTTACCTGGCCGCTGGCCCCCCTCAACGATGTCCAACTCAAAGCACGTGCTGGAAAACCCACAGGGTGTGCGTTCACAAGAGACTGCATAGATTCCTCCCGTACAATGGCTGAAATTTCAAAGGGGCTTCAACTTACGTAGCGCCGCATGAGATTTGACCTGGAGAGGGTTCACATTGGACTTTCCGGAACAGATTATCCTCCTTCGAAAACACGAAGTTACTGCAGTGACGGAAGCACACGTCATGGTCCGGAACGCTCTTTGCCAACGGTCAAAGTTACGAACATCAAAAAGCTTTCGGCATCGAAGAACGGACCAAAATGTCATCCGTAAAACATGTTTTCGAAAGGCGGTCGGCGACCGCCTTTCGAAAACATGTTTTACGATTATGACGTCCGACTCAGCGATCGAGTGGCTCAGATTCACCGATGCGCAGTTCGGCCGAATGTTATGACGTCAAAGTGTACCAAGTGTACCATTTTGTACATCCACGTGATCGCACGTTGTCTCCGCCAAAACTGGTGATGCATTCGACAATGGTTTTCCCGATGTGAACCCAACTTCGGAACTCGCTGGTACAACGTCAGCACACGTCATTTGGGTACATCTCAAAACAAAGCGAAAGTTGATCGAAAGTCCAATGTGAACCCTCTCCTGCTACAAAGCTGCCCTGCTGGTGCCAGATCAGCTCAAAGGTGGACAGCTGATGTCAGCCGCTACGTCAGTTGCTGTGTTTCAGAGCAGCTCTGACCGTCCGATGGCCAACAGGTGGGATGATCAAGGATCTGAGGACAGAAGTTTGAATCTTCTACCGAGGTCCACACTGACATTGAGAATCTTGAACTCCCCCCAGAATCCAACTCTGTCTAGCTTTGGTTCTCTTGTTGATCAGAGCTGCGCTGTGGCGCTGCATTGCGGCTTGCCATTAAGACGCATTGTGCGCATTATCCAGGAGCAGTAGGTAAAGAGCATTTCAGCAATACACGCTCTCTTTTCTTTGATTGGTTCAAAATTAACGGGTGCAAAAGCTAGCTGGGAGCTGGCTCCATCCTCCTCCAGGTTGCTTTCAGAGCACTAAGCGACCAGACCTCAATTACATTTGCTTCTTCAAGATTGGCGCCAGCAATGTCTTCCGCTAGAGTACATTCTGGCGCTGGAAAATGCATATCAGCCAACTCGCATGGCAGCAACAGATGTCGTCACCATGAGGGCGTGATGACCAATTGTCAAAGGAATGTTACCTCTGCTTTCAGGAGCGCAATGTTACCACCGGTCGCCAATTGGCATGTCTTTTTGTCGTCCTTGCATTTGAAATCAGATGCATTGAAACAGCAAAGGCTTGCGGCTACAAGGCCTTCTATCCAGGCAGCTGTCACTACTTATGATGAATGCATTATGGCATGCGATGTCGGAACTGGCGGGACAAAAGTGGCGATCATTAATCAAGTCGGACTCGTCATAGCAAGCGGTTTTTCTGCTCATGCAAGGACCACACAGAGTCAGAAGTAAGTGCCGCACTTACTTTGACAACACCACCACCTCATCAAGCCTTGATCAGCTTCGACATAGCTGTTTGCCGGCGTTATCTTCTTCTCTGTTTGGGGGCCATTGTATAATATCTGCAGATACCTGCTCAGTAGATTGATAGGCCCACCAGCTGCGAATGACTCATCAACTCTGCTTGATCATCCAGTGAGTAACAACGAGTCTTGTTGGTTGATGCCTTGTGCCCCCTGTGTTCGCAGAGATGGGGTGACATTCATGGAGCAGGAAACCGAGGAATGGTGGCTGGCAACCCAAAAGGCCTCTCAGAGCTGCTTATCACAGATGAAAGATCTGGGAGATCAGGAAATTGATGTTTCATGTGTCAAAGCTGTGGCCGTAACCGGACAAATGCAAGACATCATCCCCCTACCGAAGGTAAGCCCGTTTTCAGGAACAACTTACCTGTTTTTCAAAGAATCTGAACCACCTGTCACTTACGAAGGGTGGCAAGTACACTACACCTTTGTTGCTTGACTTACAGTATTCGTGTGTTTGGTGCATGCATTGATCGACTCAAACTCTTCTTCGCTCTGCCAACCTGTAATCAGAGTGTTTATTTCATTAGTGACGCCTATGTTTGCTTTGCATCTTCCTCCAGGATCCCACTCATGAGGCAGCCCCTGCTATACTCTACTCGGATACCCGGGCGCACCTGGAAGCAAACAAGGTGAGTCTTAACCGGAAAACCAATCCTGAGGAAGAACAAACAGATTCAGGAATTTACCCACCACTGAAGTAAGGAAGCGACCCTGAAACTCGACTCGTGTTATTCATGAGGTTGAATCTGAAGCTAGTCAGCAAAATTAGAGTTCAATGATGTCACTAATGGCACAGATTACCTTATTGATAGGTCAACGAGCTGTGTGGGGGCCGTGACCAACTTGCGACCATGACAGGGTCGGCGCAGGGCGCTGCAAGGTGAGGTGAGTTGCACGCAGACGTTTTGCAAGGCGGTTTTCTGCTTTGAGAACCTGATTTCAGTTTTCAACGCTTTGAAGCGGGTTTCAAACAGCTGTTTCATCGAACCAGCAAAAACGTTCTGAACGCATGTCTTGCATGGAGCCAAGGACGATTTGCTTTAGATGGTCTGCGTTTCAGAATCTGCCCAGAGAACTGAGTCGTGTCGCAAAATCTTGCAGCGTCCTGGCGAAGCTGATGTGGCTGGACCGTCACGCGGCCACCTACTCCGAAAACAGCCAGACGCTGCTTTTGGGCGGGTGAGCGAGCTTGTCATGTGTTCCGCTTATCCAATTCTCTTCTTCTTGACCCCGACTCGCCGTTCTGTTCTTGACTTTGTTCTAGAACCTGGAGTTGAGCAGCACTGAAGAGGCTGGTCAGCTGTTTGGAGGCATGAAGACTGGACAGCTGATGCGCATCATTTCAACAAGCAGGCATGACTACGTGGTCCATCGGATGAGCGGAGCCCTTGTAACAGATGCAACCACGGCGTCTACAACGGGCCTCACTCTCATTGCATCCCCGGGTAAGAAGAACGAGGGTTTGAGAAACGTTCACCTATCAAAGTCAGAGGCGGAAATGGGGAAGCGAGATCTTGGAATCGATTCGAGCCTGAACTTGATTGATGCAGTCGGGTGCTGCGCTTTGTCCGTCGTCTGCCGATAGCTTGCGCACGCTACAGCTCATGCAGCTCGTAGGTCGATGAATTTGTTCTCATCTCGTTTCCTTTTACCCAAAATGTGCAACTTTCTTCATACGACCGGGTACTCTGGAGTTGCTGTCCTTACTTGGCATCCGCGACCAAGCGTCAATGGCCTCGCAGATTTGCTAGATCTGTGACTTTTCCGCAGGAGATTATGCATCAGGCGTGCTCGAGACGCTGGGCCTGTCGAGATGGCTGGAGAAGCTGCCTTTGATACATGCTGTAGACAAGCCTTGCGGTAAGCTTCTCTTCTGTCACCCAAGGAACGGGAAGGCCTGGCACCCTGCGGGGCCTCGATTACGTAGGCAAAAATGAATGCTTCTATTCACATCCCGCGAGCCTGACCATTGTAATGGCTCTCGTGAAATTGGGTTTCGTCACACTGGCTCTCAATTGAGATAGTCGGAAGTCCGCGAGCGAGCGTCTCTTGTATATTCGACGTGTATATACAGTCGCTGATCAAAAATGCGTCCTCGTGCAAAAAACCTTCGTAGTGCCGCATCTGGCTCTTTGGCACCGAGCTGAAATCCTAGGTTGAACCGGTATGAGCAGCTTCGACGTACGCCTTGATCTGTGACCGAAACTTTTGGGACTCCCGCGTGCAGGCGAGCTACTTCCTGAGGCAGCGGAGGCCCTGGGAGCCGCGGAGCTGGCGGGCATTCCCGTCTTCCACAGCTGCGGCGACGCAGGGGCTAGCACGATAGGGTAAGTGGTCGCCACGTAACATTTCTGCCCATTTTCGTTGAGATCCTTGTGCCGCAATCCGTAGGTCTCTCTCAATCTGCGCGACTGGCTCGCAAAGGAAGAAGCTCTCTTACTGCGCATTCGGTCATCATGGCCGCTTGATCCAAGTCCGATTTGAGCCGAATGCAAAACTTTGCCCGTAGCGCAAAACTAGGACCCTCAAATACTTAGGAGACACTCATCGAACGTCTTAGGTTTTGTGCATTTGGCCAAGTTCTGCGATGGGCTCAAAGGAGAGTCGGGTTAGGCGGCCAGGTTTCACTGAACCTGCAGTAAAATGACCACCTCTTCGGGTGAACGGACTGGCTGGGGTTGCCTGCTTGCACGATCGACGCCGCACTTGCACTCTCCAAAGATTGGCAGCAAAAATTGACACCATTGATTCCGCCCAGGTGCGGAGCTGGTCGTCCTGGGGTGCAGTACATCTACCTGGGCTCCTCCGGATGGGTGGCCGGTTCCTTCCCTCGAGGCGCCGACCCGCCAGGCAGCAGTGGCCGGTTACACACGCCCGGGGTGTTCACACTGGCGCACCCGGACCCGGGGCTGGTGTTCAAAACGGGTTCGATCATGACCGCCGGGGGAAACCTGGCCTGGGCTGCGGAGGCGTTTGGAGATCGGGCTTTGGGTGGGTGCTGTTGTTCCTATGAGATGCTCAGAGAGTCGTACGGTATTTGACAAAGTTGTGATCTTTGCGTTTAACTTGGTGTTGCTGGGGGATTGAGCCAGGCATCTGACCCGAGCACGTCGGAAGATCGAGACTCGAATTGATCCGATTCCGTCGGCTCACGTGGACTAGGAAAGTCTTGTCGTGCCTCGCAAGCCGAATGATAGGTGTCCTCTTGACATGTTGCGGCCTTGGATCATGTTAACCTTTCGGAATGCATGCAGTCATGAGACAACCGGCAGAGCGTCCGACAAGCATACGCAGACCCGCCTTGTTTCCTTGGCAGGGGATCTCAGCAGAGCGGAGCAGTTTGACCGCGTCAATCGTTCTGCAAGCCAGGTACCTGCCGGATCGGGTGGCTTGCTCTACCTACCTTTTCTTAACGGTGAGTCCGCTTGTTTCGTCTGCTTCCGACCGGAGCTTTCAGAGCCGCCTTCGAGAAAGCTCAGTCAATCAGATCTATAACCCGTTTGGACTTGCGTGCTCGTATAATCTGCTCGTAGCTCTCGCAAGCAACGGACAAGTCGGCTGCTTCCTATTGGGATCCAAAAACGGGCTGCGATCGAGTCCTCCGTGCATTCTGGAAAGTAACGCAACGTCAGGAAGCACGCTCGATTTGTAATCCACATCCAGACCCCGCCAAACCTTATGGGGCCTACATCTATAAGCGGTCCCTTAGGATAACAAAGAGGCAGGTTCAACACTTAACAGGTTGACAAAATGCTTTCTACCCTAGACTATCCAATAATTTCACAGCTAATCCAAACGAAAAAAGAGATGATTTGCAGGGGAGCGGTGCCCCTTCGACGACGGCGATGCGCGGGCCGCCTTCGTGGGGCTCTCGGCGTCCACCCAAACCGGCCATCTGTACCGGGCGGTAAGGCTGCCCATGCCCTGCTAGCTGTTCCGTTCTAAAATTGTCGGGTAAACATCTCAAACCGTCCGAATGACCAAAGTGGCTAATTCAACGGTTCGCTTTATGGACGACTGAAAACGAATCAGAGTTTGACAGAAAGAGAAAAGTATGCTTGCTCGCTTGCTGGTTATTTTGGCGCCCTCCGAACCGGGCAGACACTTAAGGAGCACTCTACTGTTGATTCATAAGACCTTACGCACACTGGTGACATCCCTCTTAGACTGCCGCGGACGACGCAGACTGGGCATCGTCCAGCCTTTGACACGGGGGCGGCCTTGTTCGTCGGTCGCCCTGACGGTGCTGAATGAAACCTGTACTGAGAAGATTCTTCGCGAACTTTGTTCCCTGTGCCTTAGGTGATGGAGGGAACGGCCTTCGCTTTTCGAAGCGCCCGGGATGCTCTTGCGAATGACGTCACACCCGGTAAGAGCGCGTCTTGACAGTGCAGCTTGTTAGCTCGAATCCAAATGGATTCGATGCCTGTAGGGTATCGGTGAACGTTCGCTTACACCCTGAACACTTGCGATGATTTGGTCAGACTCTGTAATCTGACTTGCAGCCTTTGAAGCCGTCAGGAGGGTTTACTTTCCCAGAGCGCATCGAAAAGGAGTGAAGGTTCTCCTTTTTACTCTAGAGTGGCGAGAAAACCCGCGCTGAAATGGATATATTGAAGTTCGTCTTGTTCAAGAGCTTCATCGAGAGTGGTTTTGATGCAGGAGAAACCGGTTCGGAAGAGAAGCTACCGTTGAGGCTAGTAGGCGGCGGGGCCAGGTAAACGTCACGTCTCAGTATTTTGCGGTAACATTTCTGGTTTCGCCCACGTCTAGAACTGCGTTCAAGAAAGCCGTCCTTGCGGTGGTTCGTTCTGGCAGGCCCTGAATTTGCTTTACTGCCCTTTCGAGCGCTCGTACTTAGAAGACGCATGTCCTCTTGCTTTGCAGCCCCTTCGTTCACGTCCGACTAGGATCTCAAGTCGATTCATCACCTAGCTGTAGCTGTCATGACAACGACCCTCCTTATGCTGAGTCGACGCGTGTCCATCCTCAGGTCCTCCGTGTGGCCTTCGATCATTGCTAGCATCTTCGGACAGGACGTCGAAACCATCCAAGACTCACAGGTGCGAAGCTCCGGCCCGCTGGATTTGAAGGTGGCGATCAATTCTTCTGACCATCGAAATATATGTGTTGCGTTGTTTTACGTGTACCTGATGATCAAACCTTCGGACCATAAACTTTCAGATCTTTGCCTGCTCCTTTAGCAATATCTGGCCTCCCTCTGATTTATAATGATGCAGGTGCGAGGTTTCAATCGATTTTTGGCAGCGAGTAGACTCATAACTGCTTCAATTCTGCTCGCAGGAGGTCGGTGTCAAAGGCGCGGCTATTCTGGCGGGTCGATGGCTAGGGTGGCACGACAGTCTCAACCCAAGCGGTGAGCTTCGATCACAGGGCGCTAACTGTGAAGATCGAGTTGCGAAAGCTTGCCCCCATCCTTTTGCTGGCGGATAACTGCTACTTCTCAAATTACCTTAACTCGCTTTGCCGAAACCTCCGTCACTCTCATCGGATCCGCTGCTCTGCGGATTGAATGAAGAGTGTGACGTCGTCTATTACAATCTGCTGAAATTTGGTGCGAACGAGACAGTTCTCGTCCTTTCACAGACTGGATGGCTGGATCTTTTGGGCGGATGCTTGATACAACGTTTGAACATGCAGGTCATTGGGTAAAAGTTGCGAGACGGTTTACGCCGGAAGCCAGGGAAGTCCAACTGTACGATAAGTTGTTTACGTCGTATACGAAGCTGTACCCTGCCCTCAAAAGTACCAGGAACTGGCTGCCTTGCGGTAAGGGTTCCTGTTAGATAATCAACATCAATCAGCGCAATATTGTCGAGTCAAGGTGTGTAAACACGAGCAAGCGACCTTCCAAGATTCGTGTATATGATAGCTTAGTGCACGCAGCCCAGGTCCGTAAGAAACCCGGAGACGTCCCACGTGGGCCGGCTTAAGCACACAACACTGTTAACATTCTCGTAGGTGCCACTGTCGACAATAAAGACTGGCACTGTTTCCTTGGAAGCTCTCACTTTGCTTACGAAGTTCGCAAAATCGACGATTTTGACTGTAAGCAAAGAAAAGCAAGTCATCCAGGATCGTACCCACAGATCGAATTTGGCCGGGACCGATTCGGCATATCCGTCAGCGCATGCATCAGCCGCAGATGCCGCTACAATTCAAGCTTGCCGTAAGAATAGGGACTTAGTTCGCACTTCGCAGACGAATGATCGAGCTCATATATCGTCTGCACAACCGCTTATATGTACACCTCCTAACAACCCTACGGTCTTTAGGACGTCATTGACCAGGTTTGACATCTTCAAGCGTCGTGGATCAGGAAGCGGCATATAACGGTGCCTCTTCAAAGCTTCTCAGCCTTTTTTCCGATGCTTCTCCTGATCTCGTGTTCTTCATACCGGTTGTCCGTCTGCATGCAAGAGAATTAGGGTGAATCGTAACCAGCGTTTGAATCCGCAGTCTTTAAACGCACTCGTGTACGGCCACTCTGCGAGTCGACGTCATCTCTCATTACAACCGGGAAGCTGAGTATACGGTCAGGCTCACAATGCTCTCCTCTCCTTATAAAGGCGCATGCGTGACCATCATAGCTTTCCGGCCTATCTCTTGAGCGGGTGCATTTTTCCAAAGTCAGAGCATTTACTTGTGCATAGGTACGAGATTAAGGTTAGGTTGCGTATCGACCGAAAACCTACTTGGCCTCCAGTGTTGCCTTTGTAGTACCGACAGGTAGGAGGTATGGTACTTTTCAGGCCATATTACTCTTCTGGTATGTACCTTGGGCTACCACGTGGATCTGAAAAGCCATCCGATTGGCTAAGAAATCTGGAAAGCTTTTTGCAGATTTTGAGTCGACGCGCACCCTTACAAAAATTTCACACAATGCCAAAGTACGGAACGCTCCGGGCAAGCCAGCCGCACCCCAAGAGCGACACGCACTTGCAGACGCCCACTCCGGCCTCCGACTTTCAAGCAGAGGCACATGTTCTGCTGCCTGCAACGCTCTGACTTCGCCAAAACGCTTTTGCATGCTCACTCTGACGTAGAAGTTTTCCCGCCGGATGGGGTTGATTGCCACCGGGTGCTCGCTCGCCTCCCGGGGCCACGCGTGCATTTTCAGGTCCGTTGCGTCCTCCCATTCCGGCGTCAGCGTCCGCGGAATCGAGCCTGCATGGCGGAAAATCACTTGAACAGACTGCCTCCTGCCATCGTTGGGCCTTATAGCCTTTCGTCCAGATGTTTTGGACACAACCTGACGGGGCAACGTGTTAGTGAGAGAGGCCAACCAAAAGTTACTGACCTTTCTTTGCCTCTTTGGTGTGGCTGAGCTGAAAGTCTTTCAGAGCAAGTACTCTGTTAGTCGGGCTGTCGCTTCAGGAGTGTCGTTCATCTCAGCGTCAAGAGGCTAACCTCACCATGCACAAGCCTCCTCTCTTTTTGAGAGCACCTTATCTTTCTCCGAATCACTCATGCGGCGTGTCTCGTTAGTTTTCAAGTGAAGACGCGTTGGTTTCATCAGCATATCCATGAATCACGAGATCAGACGGGCCACAAGCGCACAGACCGACTAGATGTCTCGAAAGCTGGATTTTAAGTGAGCAGGGAGTGCACAACTCGTCCGCCCTAGCTTTTCCACAAGCAGAGTTTGAGACTCAAAAGCTGCAGAACAACGAAGCGGGGAGAAATTCGGCGCCACCACAATATGCCTGTGGTGATTGTCTGAAGGATTCGAAGTTACTTACGGAGCGGCCACCAGGCTTACAGACTCCGTACTCGAGCTATGAAAGCAATTCCGTAATGATATCCAAAAGTCTGGGCAAAGAAATCAAGTGGCTACGAGGCACTCGGCTCCTTTGACCATAACGGCCAAAGCCGAGTCCATCAGCATCGCCTTTTGGAAAGCAGTAAGAGCGCCCGCTCCCAAAGAATTCAGTGGTGGATAATCACGACGAAACAAAGATAGTCCCTAACGGTCAGCTGAGATGCAGGTCTCATAAGTCCGCATGTGCTACTCTAAAGTCCCTCTTCCAACTTACTCATCTTATGGTGCACCCATCGATGTCATTTGATGTTTCCGAAGCTCAATGAACGCACCAAGCATTCATACGGCACGGATGCATGGAAGCAAAACTTGCAGACATTTCTTACTCTGTCAGAAGCTTTCGAGACGTTCCCTTGCGAAATTCGGCCAAAAGTTGGAACAGCAAGAGCACCTAAAAGGACGGGCTTCAAAGAGAGGCTCAAGTAATACATAATGAAAATAGCGGCTGTACGGAGGATCCGCCATGACTTACCCCCGAAGATCTTCTTGTTCCTCACAAGATGGAAGAAGAGCCCCCCCACCGTGAACGCGGCCGCGACAGCGGGAAGGATGACACGTGGAGTGGGCGGGATCCTGTACCACACGTTCTGGTCGGCCATAGCGCTGACAGAGGCGGGCTTGCACGCAAACTGCAGTGTTCCGACTGAGAGAAAGGATGCTGCCTCTGAAGAGCGAGTTTGGGCAACAGGATATTGGGCTTTGAGGAAGGGCGCCTGTGAGGGCAGCGCTCTTTTGTTAACTTAGAATGGTGTAGAAACAGGTCGCCTGTGATCAGTGCACGCACTCAGTCAACGATCACTCAGTTCTGCCAGGCTTTCTACTTAAACCACCACCCAACCTATAAAACCGGGCAATTTCGATGCTGACGTGGCATAACTTGCCAACGGTCGTCGAGATCGGGCAATTCAAACTGAGACTCATGGGGCGCATCTTTTTGCACACTGGAAAGGGTAGCTACCCTACCCAAAAACTGCACCAAACCTTCACCAAATCAAGCGGTGTCAAGCCTGTTCGCCAGGAACAGGCCCCGCTGGGACGCGCTCCCTTTTCGAGCTGTTGAAACCGTCAAAAACAAGGCCTGGAGGCCCCAGAAAGCTCCCCTTGGCTTTTAGGAGCTATTCTTGGTGGTTTTGAGGGCTGAAAAGCCTGGCGCCTTCCTGCAAGGCCTCTATGTAGCGACTAAGCTTGACACCGCCACCTGAAAGCATGATCTGGGCATGCTCAGAGCTGGACAAGAGCCACATTTGAGTGCCAAATACGTGCGCCCCATGAGCGCAACTTGAATTTCACAAGTGAGGTTCAAGTTATGAAATTGGCCAGCACTGCTGGCCCATATGTACCGGTCGGGTGGTGGTTTAAGGAAGAGTGCATGATACTGCCGTTGATGTTGACGATGTAGCGCGGAAAGTACGTGTACGTCAGCTCATGCACGGTCGGACGAGCGAGCCCTGTTGAAAGGGCCGTGACAACCGCGCTGTGCCACTCGGAGTCAGAACTCACTGGGCAAGGGCGCGCGTGCAAGAAGACTACCTGCATTGCCTGAAGACTTGCACTGGAAGCATTGCTGCCTTCTTTTGAGCGGCTGCTGCATGCGGTCAAATAGATCACACATATGCAACGTCGAGAGCGCGCTGGCAATACACGGGTGTGTTGGAATAGCAGTGTTACGCCAAGCATCGCAATAAATTACATTTATACTTCTGCCGTCAGTAATGCGCTTGGGCTCGCGGGTAACGCGATCGACAAGGTGCTTAGCACGTGTAAACACACGAAGCACCACCATAAACACGATGAGGGCAGGTCAAATTGTATCCTTCGCAGGTGGAAAACACGAGAAGTATCACGTCGACTGAGACTCAATCGTGTCCGGTCAGAAGCACAGGAGCAATAAGGTTTTTGTCCATGATATACAACTGCCGAAAGTTCGCCATTGAAAAGTATTGCACAAAGGAACGGATTGCCCAGAACATGCATTCTGCAACACGTCACACTCATGCCTAACGAAGTGACTCTCATTCCCATTCATGACAGTGCAATCGTGGCAAGGGACACGTGCGAGGTGGGAGAAGGGTTCTAGGACGTCACAGCATGCGCGTCCTCTCAAACACAGGCTGTACAGTTTGGGACAAGATATGGACACTTTCAGCGGTACAGTATCACAGCTAGGCATTGTGTACGAGCTTCTCCCGGAGGCGCAAGGTGATTGGGCAATGGTCGCTGCCCATGAAACCTGCAACCAAGCGATTCAAGCTGGTTGAGAAAAGGATCGCCTTTTTGGACAGGCGCCCGCTTCACAACATTTTTACATCCTGGAAGTCAAATTGTCAAGCTCGACCATCGAAGCTGGTTTACTTTTAGAGCAACCGCTCTAATCTTCATTTGAGAAGCCTTTATGAGGCCTCGCGGTGTAGACTCGAGAAACGCAGTGCGCACAATCGCCCACCACGCAGTTTGTTTTGGCGTACCTTCTCGTTCGATCCCCGTCCCGTGTATCTCGCTGGATTCGAGGCGGTCAACTAGACTTTCCGACAGCAGAAAGTAGTCGATCCGCATTCGCTTCCCTCGGTATCTGCACCAGCAAAACGCGTTCTTTGATGTCTGTCAGCTTATAACTTCTCTCTCGCCACGTTGCTGAGAACCTTCCCCCTCTGACGACGAAGAGACTCGAAATTCATGGCGCTGTTCTGATTAGAAGGAAGTATTCCAAGACCGGCAGGGTTCAGACTGAGCTAAACTGTCGTTCAAGCACAACCAAGGCGCCAAGGCACGAGGTGCTATCGAAGTAGGATTGGAACGTGACGCAATGCTCGTCAAATTCACCAGATTATCAGTTGGCAGAGCGGGAAACCATGAACATGTGAAAAGATTGTTGCTGAGGCACAGGGCGTAACGAAAGCGGGCTGTGAAATGGGCTTGAGCATCCAAGATCGAGTGGGTTTCCTCAGAATTGTTTGTAAAGCATGTTTTCTCAACGAGAAAGTACGAAAAGGACATGAATGGACGAAGAGCGGATTGAAAAGAGAATGCTTTAAAGTCGGTCTACGCAAAGGTCAAAATTATTTCTTGGATCTAAACAGAAAGGGATAGCAACTCACTTCCCGACCGGATGCCCCGACCACGTGAATCCCGTCTCGTAGTCTTTCTTCGGGTGCAGGTGCCTATAGCTATCTACTAACCTCCCCCTGCAGACAAATTCACAGGATAAGATTTTACTCAACGTGTGCACGAAAGAGGCCTCAATGCCACTGTTCCAAAACCCTCAGGCTCTGACGACTTCAATTCCCATTTCCAGATTGAGTCAAGCAAACAATATCGAAGTTGACGTCTCTGCCTAACCCCTTGGCTTTTCGAACTCGATCAGTGGTTAAGTAGCGGGTGACCACTGACACATCAATCTTGAGAGCAGCTTGCGGCTTTACAAGGTCCGCTCACTTTTCTAGAATTTCCGAGAATCGGTCCTTCTCCGCTTGCGTGAAGCCAGGCTGCCCAACGTCCTGCAAACACATTCGTTGAGGTTCCGTTCAACTCTTCGATGGAAATTGAAGACATGCCCTTTGAGAGTAAAATGCAACAGCCGGAAGCAGGGCACGTAGACTCAGCAATACAAAAGCAATAATGGCCAAGCAATTTTAGATAGTTACGACACAAGTCTTTGCAGACATCTAGCAGCGCTGTCACATAGCACGTGCCTGTCAGAAGGAGCTGAATATTGGATGTGGAGTTCTCCAAGAGCGACGAGATCACTGTCGTGCTCACTCACAACGTCTCGTGGAGGCGTGTAGCCCTTCTCCTTTTGCCACCGGAAGAACTCGGGGTGGCTTACGTCGAGATCGGTATGGCTGCAAAAACCGAAAGATGGTAATGAAAAGCCAAACGGAGGCCTGCCCACTTGGCGACTCACACTCAAGCTGGTCAATTGAGTCGACACGCATTTGGATGGCGATCAGAAGAAACTTTCAGCAGCATGCACTCACGCAAAAAACCGCTCTTCAATTTTTGAGGAACTTCTGCCGCCTCAGCTTCACACCCTAAGCTGCTGCAGATCATTACATCATTTCGATCCCGATATCGAAAACTTCCAGACCCCTACACCTTCGAACATTTCCGGCCACTGCGCACCTGACGTTCGTGTCCCCGCACCAGATAAGGGGTTTGCCCCCTACGAGCGCTTGCACCAATTCCAGCAGGCGGCGGTCCCAATCCCTCCGCCTCTGGAACGTCTCCTCCTTCCACCCATTGTTCATGCCGTATGTGTTGAGCAGCCGAAACTCTGAGCAGAAGAACGTAGCTCAAGCTTGGCATATGCGAGACAAGTCAATGGAATGTCCACACTCAGATGGCGCGCTCAAAACGTTGCACTCAGCGCTGTAACCGGGTAACCATCCTAAACCTTCAAGTACATTGGGATCTTCAAAGGCAATGGTCCTCCGATCTCAACTAAGGGCCATGACCACTTTCGTGCCTCGTTGCAGAAGCCAATTTTGATCGAACACAAAGTCATCTCACTTTGGTTTGGAGAAATCGGTACAGGTATGGCTGATCTGTCAGCTCCCACAGTCAACCCATCAACTAGCCAGCCTACGGCAGTAGCTTCCAAAAGTTGGCATCTCGCTGTTTTTCAATGCTGATGGGTGACTAATTCGGGGGCCCACCTGGAAATTCCACCATGATGAGACGCCCCTCTTCTTCATGCTTTGGCCCCTTCCGCCCGCTTGCCGGCTCCCCTTCCCCCGCAACCATCCTCGTGAGAATGTCGTCGAAGCAGTAGGCAACCCCCACAATCTCCATCTCTTTTTTCACAAGCAACGCTGTCCCACTATACTTGCCATCCGCCAGCGACCAGAAGACGCGGTAGTTCGAAAACGGGGCCGCTGCAAGCGCCCGTGTCATGAACTGCAAGTGGAGGTCAAAGCAGAAGAATCAGAGGTTGAAATCAGCTGCAACCCAACAAATCCACCCGTCTTAAAGGAGTACTTTAGACTTTTCAAGAGTTTGCTGGATCAACCCAGCTGGAACGTACAGAATGTATGGAGTAAGGGTGAGAAGAGTAACAATGAAAAATCTGTTCACGCCCTGCCTTACGGGACCACTCCACAGATCTCGAATTCTGATGGCTATTGTCTTTACTTAGAGGACTTCACTTGTCAGTTCTTACTTAGAGGGCGCTATCAACGTAAGCTCACCTGCTTCTCATCCCTGGCTGAGTTGGTGACATCTGACATGTCCCCCCGGTTCTTGGGGCCCTTCTTCTCTCCTGCCGCAGGAAGCCGTACCTGAACGGATGGAAGGCGTGCACAATCAGCGAGCGTCAGACCCAGCATAAGCTCCCCAATGCAGATCAGATGAGTTCATTAACCTGGCCAGGCCACTTTTGCGGTCTGTCTCAGCATCCTTGCGAGGCACTTTACAACTCTCTGATTGTGTGGCCACAGATTTGGAAAGTGCCTAAATGCTCACACCTCCATTCCTTGCACGGGGGGCTAATTGTGTCCATCCTTCAATGTTGACTCAAGAAGCTCTGAACCACGGAGGAGAAAAATCCAGGATACTACCGAAGAATAATCCAACCGATGCAGAGAAACTCAAGAATTAGGCTTGTTAGTCAGCTGCCCCATCAAACGTACACCATCAGCATTGGCAGACAGCTGTGCAGCAGGAGCGTACATGTCCCACACCAAGATGGGCAAGATCTATCAACCGCTACTGATTTTTCAAAAAGGGGCTTGCATGCACCAAGAGAAAAGATGGTCACCATACGACCCACCTCCTGTATTGCAATCACATCAGGATCATGCTGCTCCACAAAGCGCACCACCTCCTGCTTGTTTGCCTTCATGCGTATGATGAAGCTATTCGTGTTCCAGGACATGAACGACGTCGGGCTCTTTCCTGTCCGCTCATATCCAGAAGTGCTGGGAGCCTCCGCCGTACCCGCCCCAAAACTCTTGGCCCTCCGGAAGATTGATGCAAGGTTCTGCTCGTCTTTGCTATCCTTCTTTTCGTCCAGGAGGGAACCACCAGTGGAGGGCCTGTCATTGGCGTTCGATGCTCCACCAATTCCGACTTTGTCCGAGGTCTTTTCGCTTTCTTCAGCAACAGCCCCAGTTGCAGAAGGCCCTAACAAGTCTGTTTCACCTTTACACACAGGCTCTTCATCCTTTTGACGTTTACTGGGCCCATCTCGTGAAACCACAGGGAAGAAGCGCTTCATGGTGGTGGTGGTTCAAGGTTCAGATTGATCAGCATTCCGCTTTGCCCCCGCGCCAGAGTTCGCGTGAAAGATAGGCGCCCAGGAGACGGGTGGGGTTGCTATGGTGGTTATTGCGGGTTTGCGTCTGGACTTTCACATCGGACGGCCGGAGTCTGCTCACAAATCGCCCTGAAGGGTCACGATTATCCAGAAGGTGTCGAGCATTCTGGCAGGTGATTAGCGGCCTGACTTTGTGCCTTCGGGCTTTGGCTCCATTCAAAGCGGCTGCATTCAAAACTCAAGTGCATTGCATCGCAGGTTGTTCAAGGTTGACATCATGAAGCGACATCGCCAAATATGAATCAAGATGCAGCAACATCTGAGCACTTGAATGGTGACTGCAGTCTTTGCAGTCGTTGGATTCATATGCGTTAACTATCCCAGCTTCCAAGCTGACTAGAGATGAAAAGAGCGTTGACACTCTGTTTGATTTGCTGCGAGGTTCGGCAGGTCCAAGTCCTTTCGATATATCTTTGCTTGGCAGTAACCACAGTTGCTAGCGACATGCCACTTCATGCTACCTACCAACTCTGACAAACTCTGACAAAAATGTTCGCGAGCGTGACAACAACATCGAACACACAGGCTGACGTGGGTGCTGACGGTCATGACGAAGTCAATATGAGTTATCGAGACTACTTTTCAGATGAATTGTATGCGTCATTTGAAGCATGTAGTACGTCAGGAACATCGAAGGCTTGACGCCGCCCAGAAGCAGTGGCATCATGGTCAAACAAGCATAGTGCGGACAAGTGCCAGCTATTTTCCTGAAAATTGACAGCAGCAAAAGTTACGATTCCCTTTCTTCTACGTCCTAGTGCCCAATTCGACACAATGAATCTGGGCGGACAAGTTTGCAGCGCAAGCACAGAGCAGTCTCGAGACAAAGAGCACTAGGACACGGTGAAGTCAAGGCTCGGGTCTAATTTTCCAATCGTCCATTCCTTGCTGCAAGATCGACCCATCCTCGAAGTTGACGAGATCCTCCTCAAAATTTCCTCCGCCGGAAGGAAAGCCGTTCTCTCCCTGCACGACCTCCTCGTCAACCATCTCACTCCTGCAAGTTTTCCGCTTGTCAGAATGCAGCTTGCCTAACCAAGAGCCTTCATGATGTTCTTGTTGAAAAGCATGCCAACATTGCAGAGAAGCATGAGAGTTAGTATGGTGAGCGTAAAGGTGACCGGTAAAATTCATTCAAAGTAGGTTGTTTGACTTTTAAGGTCAAACAGTATCAGTCCTTTGAGAGACCCCATCAGGGCTTGGAAAAGGTCTCACATACCACCTACCAGAGGTATAGAACAGTGCATTGAATTGGATTCCTCACACCCCTTGTTTACCTTACTTACTTGAGCAGACACAGCGCCTTCGCCGCCGTCACAGTGACGTCCTCGCCACTGTCAGCAGCCTCTTCCTCCCTCGAAGAGGTGTCGCCCCGCTCTCGAAGCTGCTCCCTTGGCGTTTCTTCGGCCGCTGACTGCTTCCCCACTCTACTGCAAACTCGGCACTCCTGTTCGTCGGCTCCTCTCCCTGCTTCAATTGACGCTCGACTCGAACCCCGACCACGATCCACGCCGAGGTCACCTCTGGCCCCTTCCGTTTTCTGCGCTGGCCCGTCCTCCCCCCTCGCCTGCGCGTTATCTTCGTATCCTTCCTCCTCGACTTCTTCTCTCCCTTCTCGCCCCTCTCCATATTTGTTGCCCGTTCCACTCTCACTCTCGATCGCTCTCTCTGGCTCCGGCGAGCACTCTTTGCAGGGCGCTCGATCCTCCTGTTTCTTCTCCTGGTTTCCGAGAGGACCTTCTGCGGTCGTTCTTACAGGAGACGCTTCCGCCTGACTCGGCTTGCCGTCGAATGGAGGGCTCCTCGAGGGCAGACCAAGCTTCTTCGTCCCCGTTTTGAGTACACTTATGCTCTTAGCAGCGCTCCTGTCACTTTTGCCCCCGCTTCCATCCTCCTCTGCAATCACCGCGGCCGCCTCTGCCATCTCTGCCGTCTGGTCTTTCTCCATGTCCGCGCGAACCGCCTTCGCTTTTGCCAAGTTCGTCTCGTCGGCAGCCTCCGGTTGAGTCGGGACGCTGCAGAGAAGCTTCTCTCTTTCCTTTGGGGGTTTCTCCTGCAAGCTTGCTTCGTCTAAATCTTGTCCCTGAGAGCTCGATGCGGCTGACGGTGCAGAGGGCGGGCGCTTCGGCCGTTGTGCTCCTGACTCTATTTCGACGGACTGCTCGACATGCTCGTGCTGAGGAGGCGCCTGAGGAGGCGCCGCCTCTTCGCACGCACCAGCCCAATCAGGCAGAGCATCTTCGAAGCGTTCGCCGCCGCTTCCTTTGGGGCCGCCATCAGCGCCTGTCCCTCGCGGGAGCGGAACTTTCGCCGCATCGTGTTGAGCCGCAGCGGCGGACTCTGCAGGTTCACTGCTCAAAGAGGCTGCCGGCCCCTTCTTGCCTCCAAAGTCCTCGGTCTCGAAGAAAGAGGTTTCGCAAGTGAAAGCTGCATTCAAGTCAAGACAGAACGTTGCCTCTTTGAGAGTTCTTCGAGGTCGCTTTGGCGGCACATCCTCTCCCTCCTCCAGCACGCGTTTGGGTACCAAGCGCTTCAGAATCTCATCCGTGCTTCTGAGCTTCTGCTCGCTATCACCAAACAAGAGATGCTCGCTGCCTTCGGTTTCGTGCCGCGCTGGGAAGTCGGAGAAAAAGGCGTTTGGAGGTTCCCTATATTGCAGGCTCGGTGCCTCTACCTGCGGAATGGTTTGGAGCTCCTCTTTGCCATTTATTGGCGATCTGGCTGGAGAAGCGGAGCAACTGCCCCTCCTTTCTAAAGAGCTTCCTCTTGCAATCTCATCACCTTGCTGTAGCTCGGTTACCTCCTGCTCTTCAAATGCTGCAAAGTTACTTCTGGGTATGTTCAGCCGTTTCAGACCTGACTGCTTGCCCACCGGGGAAGTCTCAGGTTGGGCTTCAGCTTCTCTCCAGCCGACATTTTCTTCACCCTCAGCAACTTTCTCGCAGCCTACAGTGTCGAGAAAATCTAGCTTCATCTTTGGGCTGGCACGTCTGAAGTCATGACGCTTGGTGTCAGAGTCAAGAGCTGGAGCACTCTCCTCCAGGTCGATGTCGAGATCAGCAAATAGGCGTTTTCCGAGTCCCGAAGAAGGCTTCGGAAAGAGGTCACAATCTTGGTGCGATAGAACACCACCTTCTTTCGTGCCTTGCTCCATGAACGCAAGCTCACTGGCAGGCCCCACATGGAAAAAGTCGATCTCTTGCTGCCTTGCACCCGGAGTGTCGACAGTCCTAGTAATTGGCGACGAAATTGAAGGAAACAAGGGCTCAAAGCCCGCCTCTGGTCCTGCCGTCCTCTCAGCATTGAAATCTGCAGCTAGGTCGACCTCCAGACTGACGCCAAGGTCGAGCTTGGCGACGTCGGCATCTTTCTTGTCCTGGGCAGGAGGGGCTGATGGCGGGCTTTGATCGACCTCATCGCCTGCAGAAAGAATGAATATCTCACACAATCTGGACAGCCTTATTCGAATGCAATCCTAGTCTCATGTCTGCTTCGGATTACCTGGTCGTAGAACGAATGCGCACCTGATACGCGAACAGAGGGAGCAATATGTCACCTGGAAGAGCCGTAAGGTGCACGACAAGCTGACCAAGCCGTACAAAGATGCAAAGCTCAGTTGCCCAGTTGTTTTGAAGAACCGCCAAGAGCTATTTGCTTTCTTGCCAGCATGGAAGTCAAGCAGTCCTCCATTGACTGCTATCATACAACTTGGCTAGAGGCAAGCTGTCCTGCAGCTGCCCACAATGCTTCTATAATACTGAGGCTGCCCTTATAAGATGATTGTGTTCAGCACTTACCAGCTGCAGGAACTGTCTGTGCTGAGAAGAATTCGTCCAGCCGACGTTCTTGCGGACCAAAGGGACTCGTGAGGGGAAGAAAGCTGCAGAAGAGCATCGTGCGCGGTCATTAAGAATCCGAAGATTATTGTCTCATTTCCTGTCAGTTTCCTACGTGCATGACTAATTCATAAACTTTGTCGCTCACTTTCCTGCAGCAGATCAGTATTCCGTTTCCTTGATGACGGTCTAAAATAGGAACTCACCCATCTGCATACCTTTCTTCGGCAACCCTTGCAGGTGAGAACCGCTCGGAAGATTGACGATGGAGGACATCTTCAAGATTGGTCTCCCCAAACGGGTGTCCTTCCTCTTCTTCCAGAGACTCAGTTGCGAGCCCTCTCAACACTTCGCTGCCGGAGAATTCTTTGCTTGGGCTATCTTGAGAATCTTGTTCTCGCAAAGCAGGGTAAAACTCTGTCGATTCAGGCTTTGACGGGACTCCTTGCAGGAATTCCTGGAACCGGTTGGATTCTGCTCTTCGAGACGGAAGGAAGTCTGGAATGCTGAAATCAACAAAAACGAGAATTCTCGTCGTCAACGTATCGTTTGTCGTTTCTTCCTGCAAGACACCGTCACATGGTCAAGCAGGCGCGAAGCTTACTAATGATTGATGAAGTAGACTCCCATCAAAGTTTGCAATGCCATCTGCTCCGCAAGCTTGACTTAGATGTGGTGGAAAGATTGGAGATACAAGACAAGCAAATCTGGATGTGATGTGGAAGCTTACTCGAGCCCTTTCGCTGCAAAATGCGACCCCGTTTTGCCAGTCAACCTCTGATCGAGCACCAGGGGCGAGTCCCAGATCACCCGTCCAAGATCGCTGAAAGAGAGATTCGGAGGAAAACTCGTGCTCAGAAAATGCTTCCTTTTCTTCCCTGCCGTCTATACTCGATTTTGCAAGTGGTCTACGACCAGAATGGCTATCGAAGACATCCTGATCTTCGGAGAAGAACGGATTAGCATCTGGTACTGAGTGTGTCTGGTTGTCGAAGTCGTCAATCTGGTCGTGCAGGGAAAAGAAGCCGCTCTTATCCAAAGTGCTCCTGTTACTACGTTGTTGAATTGGGGAATCCACTGTTGACAGGAAACGGAAGCCTTGGGTTTGGAATGGAGACTCGTCTTTCCTCTCGCTGACTGGAAAGCTTTCAGAGAAAAAGTCAAACTCGTGCCTTGATGCTACTCCTTCTCCTCGTTCTTCCTCGATCCCAAAAGGAGAGAAAAAGAGATTTCCCTCAGTTTCCGGGGGTGAAAGAGAGAAATGGTTTTCGAGCTCGCAGCTTGAAGGCCTTGCTTCTAAGTCAAATCTGCCGTCTTCTTTTGCACGCAGAAAATCAAGAGGCTGAAGCTCTGGCTCAGTAACCGTATCTTCGAAATCGGAAACTTCGGAGACTCTCTGGAGATTTTCCAACCGCGAAGCCTCCCGCTGTCTGCGAGCCTTGTTCTCATGCATCCCGTCGAGAAACTGCAATAAATGGAATACAAATCAGTCCCAATTTGTTTCAATCGGAGTGGTCACGTAATCGTCCTCGGATACGAGGATTCGTTTGTAGAAACGAATATGACCCTCTCGGTTTGCTGATTGCCAATAATAGCAATCCCAGGACTTTGAGTTTGCTCCACGTAATAAGTCCGGATTCAGTACTCTCGACAAAACTAAAGAGATCTGAAAAGGGTTGCAATAGACCTCGTGCACCAACCCGTTCAACGATTTTGAAAGAAATGAATCACCTGCGTTTGTTGAGAAGGCGACTGGTGACCGGTTGCAATGAATGAAACGCTCTTAGGAGTTCGCGGGAACTCCTCTGGTTGAAGCGTCTGAAACGGTCTGCGCTGATGATTTGACTTGACTCGCTGTTCATGACGCTCTTCTTCTGATCGGCTCGTTGCATTTCGATCCTTTAAAGATCGAGGTAAATCATGGAAACTGCAAAGGAAGTTATCGTTCGTAAAGTTGATTGTTATGGCACAGATCGCTCAATTACGTGAAAGTTGCGATTTCAACGAACGATTCTTCGTAGTAGATAAAGATCAAAATGAACAGACATTCGTCGGTCTTCAAAAATGGATTCTTACTCTTTGTTATTAGGGCTTTGTCTCAGATTTGCGGGCGGCGTAGACGGCGGAGAGCCTTCGGCTATCTCTCCTGTTCCTTGAACAGCAAAAGCTGCATAACTCTCTTGCCGTGCCGAATTCCGGGCACCACCTCTGTCCTCCTGCTCGTCGATAACATCGAAGATATCAAATCCTGTAGAAAGGGACAGAATAATATGGATTTCAAGAAGCTCACTGTCAACTGTTTTACGGGGAATCGGGATCTCATTATTCAATCAGCAACGGCGATAGCTTGCATCCTAATGACCAGAGGGGTAAAATTAGCCGGGAACTTCAAGTGAACTCTGCTTCAACCATGGCAATCCCCTGTTTGATTGGATGCTCGCTCGTTGTTCACCTTTGGGTTTCTTCAGCTTCGAGCAAGCTACTTTCTTTACCCTCTGATGCTGGTCTTCTTTCTTTTCCACTTCAGGAGGAGCGGACCTGCATCATCAAAATTTGTGGTTTAAACCTCTGCGTATGTGGATCGCTATGTCCAGATGAGACGACGTCAGAGGAAATGTCAGTTTGATTGGGATACATTAAGTTTGGACCTCACCCGTTTCCTTCTGACACATCTTCAGCTTCTCCGCCCAGTCTGCTTCTTCTCAACTGCAAACCTGCAAGAGCCACAACCATTCAGCAATAATTGATACTAGGCTACTGTTTTCGAAAGACCCTTGACTCTTTTAGGCCTCTGTACTACCCTCAAGAAGTTGCATCGTTAGTTGAGCATGCACATTTCATAGACAAAAGGCTCCCTGAACATTTCTATCGAGGAGAACTCAAGAAGTCTCTCACCTCTCAATAAGCCGTGGTAATCCTTCTGAAGAGATCCTTCCTTCTCTTCCAGAGGCTTTTCTAGAGGCTGAACCTTGGACGCTTGACCACCCGGGGTTGACCATTCCTTGCTTCTTGTTCCCAGTCTCAAAGTGCTGTCACCAAGACCGGACGCTTCTGCTCCTACAGGCTGCCCGTCTACCGTGTCGCCATTCTTGCTCGCCTTTGATACAATTAATAGAGACGTCAGACTTATGATGTCCAGGCTCCCACCTTTCCTCTGCTTTGCTGGGAAGGATGCAGCAGCGTCTTCTGCCCTTCTGACAGAACCAGAAGCATCCGACCTATTGAGCAGTCTGCGCTGTTCAAAGAAGTGTCTTTGCTTGCCTTGAACAGATTGCTTCGTCTGCAGAAGAAACAATGAGTTGTGAGTCTCACATAAGGGCAAGTCTGGGGCAATTCTTGTGTACAAGGCTCTGTCTAGGAGAGATCAGATATGACTTCAATCAGGCTGATTTCACCATCGCAGAAGCACACCAAAAGGTTATCCTTTCCGTTCTCACTTCTTTGATCTTTCTTCGGGAGCCTCCCCTCCAAGCCAACATCCTGGAATGTCCAAGAGCTACCTTCCAGCACGATAACAGCTAGGACAAGAAGACCGTCTAGAGTCGAACGATTCCTTCCAGGACTGCGCATCAGTGCTACATAGTAAACCTTCTCTCACTAGAGCCTAGCGCAACGTACCCTGCTCAATCCAGGCGGACTTTACGAATGAGCTTCACCATGTGTGAGAATTGCTGACTGGGACCGCGGCCCGACTCTCCTTCGAGGGCTGGGCATATTCCTCCAGGCATTCTTATCTCGAAACTACTGTAGTGCAGGCGCGCTCTTCCGGTAGATTAACTCATATATATGATGGCATATTCAGGCCTCCCTCTGCTCTTACCCGACTCGTTGGGTACCACAGCGTTTGAAGCTGAAACCGTGCTTGTCAAAGAACTCCAGCTTTTTTCACTTGCTTCATTCAATCGAGGGCCAGGCTTGCAATCTTTTGCACCACGAAGTGTCAGAAAGGTCCTGCATGACAGATCTTAGATCTCACAGCTTCATATGATGATCAATGATCGTATATACCGTCCAACGTGGCGGTCGAGCAGTTGTAGTCTCAGTCGAGCACCGCAGCAGCTAAACGTTGCTTTAATTGTTTTTTTAGAAGAGCTTGAAGCATGATATGGTAGGTGCTCAGGTCGATTAGTGGTATGCAGCAGCGAGTACGAGCCAGGACGGTTGGAGAATCGTCGGAAGTATCTTCGATCACACAGCTGCAGCCTTCATGTATACTTGAAGCAATCCAGACCCAATCCTACATGCATTTAGCGGCATGCTTCATGATGATTGTCATGGTACATTCGTTTTACGTGCAGAGTAGTTGTCTATCAATTGATCATTGATTGCATTGCGCTACATCACGCCTAATTTGGCAGCAATAATTTGTCGCGGCGGGACAGGCGCGCCTGGGCATGGGCAGGCTCGATCACGGATGAGTGGCACGCGCCGAGGTCACAAATGCTTGCATTTCAGCTGCCGCCCGCGATCCTGGGAGAATGCACGAGCGTGTAGCGACATATAGGTGACCGACCACCCTACAGGGCTCGGACAGCTACAAGTTGCACACATGCTGGGCTAGGCAACTCATCAAAGGCAGCCCGGCAGAGTATTATATAGAGGTTTATTGAAGAAGACATGATGCCAGTAGTACCTTTAATTGGTCCTTAAGTCGTGCTGCGCTTAGCTCAATAATCAAAGATTGAGTTGGCAACGGATTGTTTTTTTGGTGGAGGTTCAGTTGTACAATTGAAGCTGCAAGGCATGCTGAATGTCAGAGCGGAAACTGAAGCTGCCATTCCTGGGAGCGACTACCTGCATCTCTTAGATCTTATATACGACGGACCCTACATGAACGGTTCCAAATGTAGAAAGCACCCATTTTAAAGAGCTGGTTGCTTCGCCGCCTTCTGCTTGCCCCAGTCGGCGTGCAACAACCAATCCTCCTGCGCGTCCACCTCCTTCTGGCTTTTGAACATTGACGTACATCTGGCCATGGTCTGGCTGGCTCTGCTGATGGGATCAGTCATGTAGAAGTTTGGCACAGCCCTCGTAAACGGCTCCTTCAGCAGGGGTCCAGCGGACGCCTTAGATGGTGCCGTGCGCGCTGCCATGCTGACCTCGGAAACTTCCACCTCCTCGAGCCTCTCCAGCTGGGGGGCAATCTCGGCCGCCCTTCTCCGCACGGCATCAGTGGTATCGTATGGAAGCTGGACTCCGGCGATCTCGGACAGAGCACGAAGGATCTTCCAGTCCTCACGCGCATTACCTGCAGGTGTCCCAAGTTTACGATATTTAGCTTTGCACAAAGGCTTACAATTTAGCTCTGCACAGAGGCTTACATATGGTGAAGAATCAAGTCCGATGAGCAGCAAATCTCAATCCTGCAACTGCACCTCCAGAATAGGGGACCGTTTCCCTTGCTCAGGAAGAACCATGCCAACCTGTTGCAGGAAGATGCGACGGCCGTCTGAGTACCTTCGCTGATCACATCAATGAAGAACACAGTCTGTGAGGCCTTCAACGCTGAATCCTAATCACAATCTGCCACCCTTATCCTCTGCCAACCGACACTGAAATTTGGACATTCTCAGTCGGTGGACTAACCTGGCACAGGAACTGCCGCCATCGTCCTCTGCGGCCGGCCCTCCGTGTTGACGTACGTCGCCTCCTTCTCGGTGTAGGCCGCGCCCGGGAGCACCACGTTCGCCCTGCTCGCGCCCTGGTCCCCGTGGTGCCCCTGGTAAATCACGAAACTGTCCTCCCCGACGAACTTGCTCAGCCCCTCGTCCGCTCCCAGCAGGTACACCACCTTTGCCGGCGGCGCGTCCTTCTTCACCCCCGGCCCCGGCACAAAGCCCAAGTCCAGCGCGCCGGTCGAGCTCGCCGTCAGCTGCAGCACATTGAGGCCATTCCAGTCCTCCTTGATCACCCCCGCCTGCTTGGCAATCCGATCCACCACCCCCAGAATTGCGTCCCTGTCGGGCCGCCTCAGGACGCCCGCGCCGACGATGATCGCCGGGCGCTCTGCCTTGGCGAGGGTCTCCGCGAACCCGCCCTTCCCGGAGGTCAGCTTGGAGAGGTCCTGCGCCTTGTCGCCGAGGTGCTCGTGCGGGTACGTCAGGTCCATGTCCGCGGGCCCGACCGCCGCAATGTCGCGCAGCGTGCCGGCGCGGAAGGCCTTGCGCAGGCGCACGTTGAGCAGGGGCGCCTCGGAGCGCAGGTCCGTCCCCACGAGCAGCACCGCGTCCGCGTCCTCGAGGGCGGCGATCCCCGTGTTGAAGAGGTAGCTCGGCCGAATGTCGGCGTTCTCCTGGCCCTCGGCGCCCTCGATGTACAGCCGCTGGGAGTTGAGCCGCGCCATGAAGTCCTTGAGCGCAGTGATGGACTCCACGTCAGCTAGCTTCCCGACAACGGCGGCAATCTCTTCCCCTGGAACGGAGGTCAAAGCACGCGCAGCCTCCTGAAGCGCCCCCTGCCAATCGGAGGGCTGGAGGCGGCCGTCGGGGCCGCGCACGTAGGGCAGGGCGAGGCGCTGCCGCTTGAGGCCGTCATACATGAAGCGACCCTTGTCAGTGAGCCACTCCTCGTTGACGTCCTCGTTCAGCCGCGGGACGACGCGCATCACCTGCAGATAGCGGGGAATTGGTTCAGAGGATAAGAACTACCAGTCAGAGGATCACTTGGGAGAGTCTGAGCGGAGCCTTATGAGAAAAGCCTCCAGAAATGTGAAGTCGAGGCTCAGCGGAGCCTTATGAGAAAACAATTCCAGAGATGTGAAGTCAAACAGTGGCTTATCATGGTTTTCTTGTCAGAAGAAGGAGACCCGTTGGGCCCTGTCTTTCAAGCATTTTTGGAAAAGCAGTAGACACAAAGCAACCTCCAGGTCCAGCAAGCACTTGATGCTGGTTCCCATGCAAAAGCACTGGTAATCTTCAAGGAAACCTTCACCAATTTGAAGTTCGGCTGTCTGAAAGAGAGTCGTTTGCATACCTCAGGTCCTCTGTGGTCCACCCGGATGTTTGCCCCAAGCGCATCACTAACATCAATGCTCTCCTTGTTTGCCAGCTCCCAGTTCCTGGCGGTGAAGGCGTAAGGCTTGCTGGTGAGGGCTCCCACAGGGCACAAGTCGATGACGTTGCCTGATACCTCGCTCGTAGAAAGGCGATCCACGTACGTGCCAATCTCCTCAGCATTTCCGCGGCCCAGGACCCCAAGATCCTCCACACCGGCGATCTCGGTGGCATACCGCACACACCTTGTGCAGTGGATGCACCGCGTCATGACAGTCTGCAAGGAATTCATCTGATGTTGAGAAACTGTGCATTCATTCACTTTCAGATCAAAAACATAAATATGCTTCCAAGATCAGGTCTGCATCTGCTTCCAGATTTGTCCAACTGCATGCAGCTCGCAGACAAAAAGAGGCTGGCATCTGCTGGAAACGCGATAAGCAGAGCAGCGGAATTCGCAGGTATGGCGAATATGGCACCTTCAGGAACGACGGAAGTTACCAGACAAACCGGACTGTTAGCTTCTCCTGCAGCAAGTTTCCTCAAAAGTACTCCCACCACTTTCATCACATGCAGCAAGTTGTCAACTCGAGGATGCTGTCAATATACAAGCAATGGAGGAACAAACAAAAAATAGCTGCCCTGCAGAAACTCACCTTAATCAAAGGTCCAAGATGCTTATCCACAACAGACCTCTTCATGTCGGTGAAACGGCCCCTGTCGCTGCCGAACACCATAGCCTGATCCTGCAGATCGCACTCGCCACCTTGATCGCAGATGGGGCAATCGAGAGGGTGGTTGAGCAACAGAAACTCCATTACACCTTCACGCGCCTTCTTAACCTGCAACAGACAAGACGAGGATTTACAATCACTTTGAGTCGCAGCAAAGAGCAGAGAAAAAGGTTGGCTGCTTTGCAAAGTTTCAAGTTTAATCTGAATTTGATGCTACAAACACCTCAATCCAATCCACTAGCTCTCTGTCAATCTAAACCCACCTTAGCTCTTTACCAGCAAATCTTCCATGTAGCACATATAGACAGGTTTATTGAGCTGCAGAGATTTGGAATTCATCAGGCAAATGCTGAGCTCCGGCAGCAGAGTTGGTTGATTGGCTATTCATGATTGAGGGTGCGATTGATAAAGAAAGAGGACCTCAGTACGTACCAGCGGTGTGTCTGTCTTGATTTTCATCCCCGGCATTGCAGGCATGGCACACGATGCTACCGGCTTCGGACTCTTCTCCACTTCCACCAAGCACATGCGGCAATTGCCAGCAATGCTCAGCCGCGGATGATAGCAGAACCTTGGGATGTCCACGCCCGCCTCATCGCAAGCCTGCAGCACAGCAGGCAGCGGATGGTATGCGCAGAAGTGTCTGTAATTTTCCTCGATCAACAAAAGTTGAGCTGCTAGACTTGGTAAAGGTGCTGCTAGCGGCAGCATAACAAGAAATTGTACGAACAAGAGATGGAAGAATCCTTCAACCTCAGCCCCAGTCAAAAGCCTTGATGTGGCCTGCCACAAGTTGTGTGATGCGTCTGAACATCTAACCCGATCAATAGGCGGTAGAGAAAGTACCTGCAGAACTGTCATGCCCTTGGGAAGATTCACTGCTTGCCCGTCGACGAAAACCTCGATCATGTCCTTCTTCAATTCATCAGGGATGATGCTGTGCAGCTTGACGGGCACCCTGCCTGTTGGGGCCACAGTTGACGTGCTTGGCGGCACGGTGGGAGGGCTCTGGGGCGCTGTTGCTGGGCTTGCGGTGCTGTTTCGCCGCACCTGCTGGCGCCTGCTCGCAACTGAAGCTCCAACAAAGGTGCTGTCAGAAGCCAGCTTCTCCAAAAGCGAGCGCCGCTGCTGCACGCTTTTTGTGCTTGCGAGGTTTGTTGTACTGGATTCGATTGAAGGCTGGCGCGAACCACCCACGCCCTCATCAGCCTGCTCATCAGTGGGGGCAGAATCGCCGCAGAAGGAGGACACGCTCCGATAGAGCAGACTGCACGCATCCTTTGACTTTGAACGGTTGATCAGAGCAAGCTGCCCTCTCAGGTGCCCCGAGAGAGCCCCAGAAAGCGGCCCCATGGCTCTGCTGCAAGAGACCTGCTGAAAGTAGTCCAGCCACACCACGCCCTGATGATCAACCGCCCTGCAGCCGCCCTGCAGCCTGTGCTTTGTGCAGGGTGGGGCAGCTTTGTCTCTCGAATTTGGAGCCAGTGAACGTCTTGGCGACTCTAGAGTCTAGGGAGCCAATTGTGGTGTCAAAACTAGACCAGAAATTGGAAACATCTGAGGGCCATATTGCTTCAATTTTGCTGATCAAGAATCTGGTGATGGATCCCAGCTACCCCTCACCGGGAGCTTTTGACCGGCCTTTTTGAGACCGGTAAGGGTTACCTGGTGTAAGATAGGAAAGCTAGAATGGCCAATCTAGACATAATTGAGGAGCTCGAGGAACCATAAGCAGAGAATTAGAGAAAGGCTGTTTTCGAATGCAAGTTCC